TTAAATATAATAATCAATAATTCATTCATTCTGTTTGTCCACACCTGAAGTTTGACTTTTGCGTATGGTTTTTTATTTTTTAAGAAAATATTGTTTCACAAATAGAAAATATGCAGGTATTTTTCATGATTTATAACAAAATAATATTTGAAATTGGAAAATTAAAAAATTTTTTAAAAGTTATGATTAACAAATAAATTTTGTTTTTTATACGCTTATTATAAAAAACTTCGTTTGACTGATCTAAATTATACAAATTTGTATGCTTTTTATTTATAAAAAATATTAGAAAATTGTTAATTGTTAAAAATTATGATTAAGAAATAGGAAATATATCCATTTTATGCATAATTTTTATTTCTCAATGGGACAGAATTTCTCAAACGGATCACCTAAAACTAAAAAAATTTTTTTTGAACCAAAATAGTTTTTTTTACTCTTAATATCGTTAAGAAGAATCCCTGAAAATATTAAGGCAAAAAATAATTTTTTGTAAAAGTTATGAACAATTAAATTTTTTAGTACTGCTTAATTAACAAATTTTTTTCTCGAGTTCCAGTTGACGGATTTTTAAATTAAAATATGGGTTTTTTTCGTCTTAGATTGTACTATTTGAATATATTTTTTGTTTTTAAATTTTTTTATTTTTTATAATTTTTTATATAATTTGTTTATAAAATGTTAATAAACAAATATCTTCTTCACGTCCTAACAAAAAAATTAAAATTTTATTCTATTCCTTAAATGTCTCCGAGTGTAAAACCGTTTCGAAAAAAAATAAGCCTCAATTAGAAAAAAGTTATTAATTAAAAACTGCAGCCGTGTAGGGCTTTATATGACGTTAAACTCGCCCCACGCACATTGGCATTTTTTACAATTTACTGTTTAAAATTGTCTGGAACCTTCAAATTTTATCGGATTTTCATGGGTTTGGTCTTAAATTGAAGGAAATAAAATTTCTAAGAGATTCCTCCAAACCAATTTTTGAATTTTAAATTGTTTATATTTTTTTTTGTTATTCAAAGTTAATAATTTACAATATTTTTAGAAAAAATCATGTTAATTTTTTTATTTTTTCATTGCAGATGATTCGAATCAATTTAAATTAGTCCAGCATGACCACCAGACAAATAATAATGTATAATACAATTTATTTAAATTGTATTATACCTTATTACCTTATTACCTTATTATACCTTATTACCTATAATTATGTTTTCTTCATAACATTTTTAATTTCTCTAAATTTTTTTCTTTTTACTATACAAAATGAACTGAAAAATTCAATTTATGTTGGATTTTATAAAATTCTTCTCATTGTTCTGTAAAATTATTTTACTTCTCTAAATAGAATTTTTTTAAAAGTTCTCTTGAAACTCGGCTCAACAAACTTACTAACCCCATTATTGTTATTATAATCTCTGCGATTTAAATTTTAAATTTCCAAATTATGAATTGGATTAATATTTAAAGTTTAAATACACATATAAATTTCATGTTCGTGATGAAAATACTCGTTTTCAAATGAAATTGTTTCGGATAATAGGAATGCGGTATTCAGTGGAAAAATGAATTTTAATGTAGATGCTAATTATATATTACTGTTTGCAACTTTTTTTTTTTGTTTTATTAGTTTTTGTTAGTCATGCATTCGAGCGAGAAATCGCTTGAAAAAAAATCGAGAAAAATGAGAAAGTAATTAAATTTTATAAGAGTTGCTTTTACAATTTTCATAAATAAATGAAGTTCAGAAGGTTATAATTTGAAATTTTAGAAAATTTTATTTTTGAATAAATTGAAGAGAATAGAATTCTTGTCAAGAATTTTGTCCAAATTTCTAAAAATAATTGAATTTTTTCGATAATTACAATCTTTGAAAATAATTAAATATTATTGGGAAATTTTATTGAAATTATTGTATTGAAAATAATTGCATTCTTGCGAAGAATTTTATTATATTTTTTGAAAATAATTAAATTCCTGCAAAGAATTTTATTATTTTAAAAAATAATTCAATCATGTGAAGAATTTTATTAAAATTTTTGAAAATAATGGAATTCCTGCGAATAATTTTACGACTTTGAAAAATAATTTCATTTTTGCTAATGAATCTTATTAAAATTGTTAAATTAAATTAAATTAAAAATAATTGAATCCCAGCGAAGAATTTTTTAAAGATAACTGAATTTTTGCCAAGAATGTTATTAAAATTTTTGAAAATAATTGAGTTTCTGCGAAGAATTTGATTAATTTTAAAGATAATTGAGTTCTTACCAAGAGTGTTTTTAAAGATTTATGAAAATAATTGAATTCTTTCGAAGAATTTTATTACAATCCTCAAAAATAATTGAATCTTATAGAGAAATTTTATTAAAATTTTTAAAATAAGTGAATTTCTGTGAAGAATTTTATTATTTTTATAGATAATTTCATTCGTACCAAGAATGTTTTTAAAAAATTTTCAAAATTATTGAATTGTGTCGAAGAATTTTATTACAGTCTTAAATAATAATTGAATCTTATAGAGAAATTTTATAAAAATTGTATTGAAAATTGAATTCCAGCGAAGAATTTTATTATTTTTATAGATAATTGAATCATGCAAAGAATTTTATTAAAATTTTTGAAAATAATTGAATTTCTGCGAAGAATTTTCTTATTTTTAAAGACAATTAAATTCTATCGAAGAAAGTTTTTAAAAGTTATTGAAAATAATTGAATTTTATATAAGGTTTTAAATTTAAATTTAATTTAATTAAATTTGAAATTTTAGAAAATTTGAATTTAATTATTAAACCCCCTTTTTTAATGAATTTTTCCAAAAAATGCAAAATTTTTAGATGAAATTTTTTTTTATTGCAATTTTCATTGTTATATCGGTATGTAAAAACCGTATTCCCGATAGCTGTACTTTAAAAATGTGTAGTAGTTTTTTGTTCTTTTTTTTATTTTTTATTAAAAAATGGCGCCCGAACGCTAAATTTTTTTTTATTACACATACAAATGTTTTTTTTAAATTTGCTTAAATTCACTTGAAATTTGTTACTCGGGGGTTTATGGGGTCGTTAATTACGAATCTGATGTTAGTTTTTAAAAATCAAAAATGTCGGATTAAATATGGCGGACGATTTTTTAATAAATTCACCAAATTCGCCTGAAACTTGTTACTCGGGGGTTTTCAGGGTCGCTAATTACGAATATGATGTTAGTTTTTAAAAATCCAAAATCGCGGATCCAAAATGGCGACCAAAAAAAATAAAAATTATTCAGATTGGCTTAAAAATTGGTACTCGGGGGTTTTTGGGGTCGCTGATTACGAATATGATGTTAATTTTTAAAAATCCAAAATTTCGGATCTAATATGCAACAGATATTCAAATGACTGAAGGTGACCAGGACTTAGAATAAGTTTTGGTAGATGTTACATCCCGAGATAAAACTTTTTTTAATTTAACCCTCAATGTGTAAAATAGGGCGCCATTTTTTAATAAAAAATGAAAAAAAGAAAAAATAACTACTGAATATTTTTAAAGTACAGCTATCGGGAATACGGTTTTTATACCTTAGACGATATGTAGATACCGATATAACAATAAAAATTGCAATTAAAAAAAAAATTTCATTCAAAAATCTTGCATTTTTTGGAAAATTTCATTAAAAGAGGGGGTTAATTTCATTTTTTGGAAATTTTGACAACGCCATTCGAAAGAGCGACCCTGAAAATAGTAGGAAATGGTACTTTTAAAATTTTTTTAGCTTTCTTTTAATAGTTGTACGTAGTTAAAATTCAAGTCGGAAAACAGCACATTTGTCCGTTAAAGGGTTAAAGAAATTCATAAATAAATGTAATAGAAAATTTTTTGGAGTATCTAATAATTTTTAGAGTGAATCAGAATATTTTTGAGGTTGAAGGAAAAAGTTGAAATTCTATCTGAAAATCGCGGTAAAACAAATAAAATTTTTTGTGGCAAACCCTGAACGATTTTCTCCCTCATTGATACATGGTTTTACTTTAACCCGAAAGAGTATTATTTTTTCATTCTGATGAATTTTTATCATACAATTCTAATGCGGTGGAAAAATAATCCCTCCTGAGAGGATTTTATTCTTCGGTCACAAACACAAGTCTGTATGTGTCTCGTCTGAATATGAAAAGCCGTATCATATACATGAATATTATTTTTCGAAACCTTGTAAAGAACTGTTATTTAATCCACTGTTGAGTATAATAATCTCAACGGTAGGGGATTATTTAATATCTGATGTAAAAATACATTTTTAGAAATAATTATACATTTTGTATTTTTTCTATAGACACTTGGAGTGAATTTTTTTTTCTTTTTGATTCCAGATAATTCCTGTTGACGGGGGATCAGTCTATAGTCAAAGGAAAATCAATAGAGAGAGGGAGAGACTTGGGTGAAAATTGGTAGCAGGGTCGTTTCGTTGCATGAAAAGCGAACGGTTCGAGAGCAGAGACACTTGTTGCTCCTGCGGAGTTACAAGGAGAGAGGAAGAAGACTGGAATAAAAAGCATGAGTCAAGAAACTCTTCAGTGACGGGGGTTTTCTTCCACCTAAAGTTTACTTCAACACCAACGGTTCCTTAATTCTCGACTCTCAGCGAAGAAAGAAGGGGGAAAAAAGCGCTCAATAAACAAAGAAAAAGAAGAAGAAGAAGAAGAAGCGTGTCTACTCTCTCTCTAAATATAATATCGGAAAAAAAATTCGATTTGAAAAAACAATGTCAACTGGAGTGATTAGTTTTTTTCTGAAGGAAGAAAAAGAAGAGGGGAAATTAATTTTAAATCCTGGCTGGTGAGACAATATCATTGTGGAGGGAGGCATTGAAGAAATAGAGATTGGAGTGGAACAACATTTCACGGTCCGGCTGTCATGAGAGTTGGAAGTTCGAAGGTGACAGGTCGGTGACACCGGCGGCGGCAGTGAGACAAGTGCTGCCGTCAACACACGTCCCCAATTGTGAAGCTATTCTGGGGATCGTCGATTATTTATTATTATTATTATTATTATTATTATTATTGGGCACGTCGTCGAGAAGTGAATTTGTAAAGAGAGGGCGAGAGCAGAAAGGCTGGATCACCTTCGTGGAATGTCTTCCGGCGCCAAGCGGCTGGTACAGTCGCTTCGGGGCCGTAGCGCCGGTAGAAGTAGCGGAGGCGGAAGGACCGACTCTTCAGGGGGCGATGGCAGCGGAAACGGAGGTGGAGCCAGCACCAGTGCGACCAGACTTTTCCATTATGATAGCGGTCATGAACTCGATGAGATATCCGTCGTCGGCGGCATTTCTCGGTGAGTTATTATGGATTTACATATTTTTAGGAATCCAAATATTTTCCTTTTTTTCCCACTTTCGAATTATTTGGGAATCCAAGTGCCTTTTCGAGGTTGCAGATATTTACAGCTAACAAACTTCTCTTTATACTCCCTAAATTTGAATCAGTTAAAAATAACTGATTCAGATATAATATAATTTGGATAATTTTAGAGAAATTACAAATGATTCAAAAATTTTTAAAAATTCTCATCAAAATTTCAATTATCTTTAGAAATAATACAGGACCACAACATTTTTTTTAAAGGAAGTATTGACCGTACAATGATTTTTATATATTTTTTGGGTCGATAAATTCGAATTCGAACTCAGTTTTCCGCCATCACGTCAAGTTTCTTTAAAATGTCGGATCCAATATGGCTGTCGAATCTTTTAATAATTTATTAGATTTACTTTAAACTTGTTACTCGAGGGTTTTTGGGGTCGCTGAATACGAATTTCATCTTAGTTTTAAAAAATTCAAAATGGCGGATCCAATATGACTAACGAATTCTTTAAAAATTTGTCAGATTTTGAATTTTTGAAAACTAAAGTGAAATTCGTATTCAGTGACCCCAAAAACCCCCGAGTAACAAGTTTCAGGCAAATTGGGTGAATTTTAAAAAAATGGACGCCATATTGGACCCGCCATCTTAAATTTGGAATATTTACGAGTTTTTTTTTTTATTGTTTAACATTATATAATATTTTTTAAGTATGTTAAAGTTCTTTTTAATAGATTTTTCTGCTTAATTTTATTTATATCTTGTTTACAGTCAGTTTTTTGCGAATTTTATTAATTTGTGAAGAAACTTGACGTGATGGCGGAAAACTGAGTTCGGATTCAAATTCAGCGACCCAAAAAACATATAAAAAAATTTTGTGGTCCTGTGTAATTAAATTCTTCTCCGAAATTCAATTACATATTTTCAAAAATTTTAATAAAATTCTTGGCAAAATTTCAATTATTTTCAAAAATTTTCCTCAATTCAATGACTTTTAATACTATTAACTACTTATACTATTTATTACTACTATTCTAATAAAATTTTCCAAAAGAATTTAATTATTTTAAAAATGGATTTCAGTTAAAATTTTAGATTATAATTGAATATTAGAAGCATTAAAGTGTAAAAGTATTTATTTTTGACAAAAAAATATATTTCTCCCTATTCACATATTGATATGCAGGGTTACTACAGGACAGGGAAGTAAGGAAATTGAGGAAAAAGTCAGAGATTTTTATTAAAAGTATACTGGAAAAAATTAAATTTTTAGAATTCATAAGAAAATTATATTTATTTTAACTTAAAGAATAAAATACCTACATGGAAAATATACTTTAATAGGAGACAAAATTATATTCATAAATTTAGAATATCGACTTTTCTGTGGCATAAACTATGAAATTATCACGAATTCTAATACAAAACCTTCAATTTTTTAACTATTTCTGACAATAATTTCATTTTAATTAGCTTAATTCTTGAAGGACTATCATTTAATTATTATTTATAAATTATGTAATAAATACTTTTACTTAAATATATCAAAATTAATTTAATTTTAAAATATTTGCGTTTACAATTTTTATAAATAGATGAACTTCAAAAGAATTCAATTATTTAAAAAATTTTTTGATAAAATTCTACGCAAAAATTTTACTTATTTTATAAAAATTAAATTTTAAGAAACGTTCAATTATCCAATAAATGATTTATTTTTGTATTTAAAAAACAATCTTTATGTTTTATAATAATATTTTCATAAGTTATTGAATTTCAAAAGGTTTGAATGTGAAATTTTTAAAAACCATAATTCCTATGGAAAAGTAATAATGATTAAATATTTATTTAAAAACGAAGTTATTGATGCTTTCGAATAATTTTACAATTCAAGAAATTCGTAAATAAAGGTAATAAAATATTTTTTTTGTGTATAGTTAATAATTTTTAGAGGGAATCAGAATATTCTTTAGGGTCTGGTAGAAGTCAAAATTTTGTCTGGAAATCAGGAAAAAACAAAATTATATTTTTGTGTCAACCCAGAAGTAGCAAGAATTCAGTTAAGTCAGACACTTGTGTATTTTCAGTAAAACATATAGCTACTATTAAGGCATACAAAATGGGATATAAGTAGAACAAGATCGAATTAGTCAGACAATGTTTCATTATAAATTTATCCAAAGTTATGAGGTGATTGTTGTCGATTGTATTATCAGTAGTACAAGTCTGTTACAGTCCGACAAGATGACTTAATTTATAATATATTGTCAGTAGTAAAATTCTCTTACCAGTCAGACAAGGCACTTTAAACTTTTGTAATTGCAGACACAGCCGCAATGAAAGAAAGAGAAAAGAAGAAAGAAAGTACCTAGTAAATGTCTATATTAGTCAGACAAGGGTTCAAACTTTATAAACTTTTGAAAATAAATCTTAATAAACGCATTATCAGTAGTAGTAGTCTACTTGAGTCAGCCATCGGTTGAAAATGAAACAAATAATTAACGGTAATTAATTATAATATATATTTCCTTAAATTTTCTGTTGGTTATAAATAAGTTGTAACAAATTTAATATTTTTAATAATTATTGATACAAGTTCAATGGGAAATAGAGGATATTTATATATATTTATAAAGTTTGATATAATTTAGTCTGTACAGAAAATATATCTTTAGTCAATCAACAAAAAATACGATTCACACTTTTCACATTTACACTATACTCGAAAATTTATAATAACTTTGTATATTAATATTTTTTTTAAACATAAGATTCAATCTGAAGGGCTATGTAAAATTTGTACATTCAATTTAAAAGAAAATTTCTGGTCAAGGGCAAGATCAAAGATCTGATATAAAATGTATAGGCTAACTCACCCAGTCAATATAAAAAAATAGATTTTTATCCATCCAAAAGATGGAAGTCGACAAATTTTGTATAGGAAAAGAAAACCTCTGATAAACGTGTGATTAGAGTATGCTCTTCGGAAAAACTTGATAGGCTAAATCCAAGATTCCACCTCGATTATTATAAAGATGATGCAAAACCAATTAATTGGTGACTTCTCTTGACATCGAATCCACTCGAGATACACACAAGGTTTTCATCTTTTTGTTTTAAATACAGATAGTTATAAAAGGTGAGTTTAATTTTCGTCAAGCCTCGTCGACGAAACACACGGTGATTTCGATTTCTTCACCAATCGCTTTAAAATTATGACAAAAAAAAGAAATATAATTATTACACCATTTTTTTATACACTTTTACACAAAATTAATTAAATATTTACCCCTATTGGGTGTTGTGTTTAGCGTATTCGTCAAATACCACTTGGCGTGTTACAATCTTGATCTACAAATATTTTGACGAAGATTTTGCATGTTTCACATGCGAAGGTCCCTTGACCACTAACTTATGACATGCGCGACACTTAAATCAACGTTTACAAGATTCTCCCTTCTTTCTCAATATTCACAACGATTCGCCTGAAAGATCTCTAATTTCTTACAAAGTTAATTATAATATAGTTAAATAAGTAGTACAACTTAATTTTAGTCAGACAATCGTTTAATTTTATCTGATTATCAGACTGTTTTTTTTGTAGTTTTAAAATAAAGTTGTGCTAGTGTTGCTATATAAGATCAAGTTAAGAGAAGAAAAATCATCAACAATATTTTCTGAATTCTTCATTGCAGTGGCTTCTTTTAGACTTACGGCTTCCTCAAGTATATAGTTTCAGTCAGAATTATCGCAGTAATCGAGAAAAGTTTCTTTCCATGTGGGGTCCGAAGTTTATACTTCACATTAGTTTCAAGAAGTGAGATTATTAATCCCAAAGTTCGCAACAATCAAGAAAGAACATTTCTAGGTTATGTCTGTCTCCGAAATGACAGTTTTTAAAGTAAAAAGAGCATTTTCTTTTCAATTTCTTTTTCCTTTGATTTGTAGCTTCGTCGGAATCATGCGAATTCTTGACAGTAAATTAAATTGTTATCTAACTTCTGGTTCCCTATGTTTAGTAAAATAAGAATAGTTTTTAGTTGAGAGTTTCTAGAAATTACATCAGAGTTGCCACATATCAGGGAAATCAGGGAATTCATGGAAAAGTCAGGGAAAGTAGAATTGGTATTGGTGTAGAACTAAAGGTATTGGAAAAAATTAAATGTTTAGAATTTATAAGAAAATTCTGAATTTTTGTGTCTTTCTGTTTACCTCATAAAGTATGAAATTACCACGAATTCTAAAAACACACTGCAAAAATAAGTATCTTATTTGATATCTTAAAATAAGATGTAAGATGGAAAAATGGTATCTTACATCTTAAAATAAGATGTTTTCTAAAGTATCTTACTGATTTTTAAGATGCTTTATACGTCTTAGATATTTCTTCTATCTTAAAAAAGTAAGATACTTCTGTAAGTTTTTTAAAGTATCTTAAATTAAGATGTTTCTGTCTCAATAAGATGTTTAGCTATAAGATACTTGTGAATTGTAAGATGCGAAAAAAATTTAAGTTACTAAAAACTAAGATGCATAAAATGTCTTACATATAAGCCCATAGTTAACCTCAAAACTTTTTTTCTGAAAAATATGCTGAAAATGTGTACGAAGATGCTTTTAGCATCTTAAATTAAGACATTTTAAATGACTAAAAAGTGACTACAATAACATCTTAGAAATGACTACAAAAACATCTTAATTAAGATACTTCTTTTTGCAGTGCAAACATTGAATTTTTTCTATTTCTGACAATAATTTAATTTTATTGAAGAACTGTCATAAAGTTATTATTTGTAAGTTATAAATCATTTAATGAAGTATTTTTTTGAAAAATTTTAATTTCAATTCTGTTGAAATTAGTTTCAAATTTAAAAATTTAAACGCAATTCTTTGAAAAACTTAATCTATCTTGATAAATATTAAAATTCGTTCGCGATATTCAATTATTTTCAAAATTTTTTTAAAAAATTCTC